TGTGCGTACGAATGGTTGTTGCGTGAGGCCCAATGTTTTGTTTCAGAATCCAACATTCGGAATCAGAAGTTTCCTGTTTTGAGTGCAAAAACAATCCCAACAGACCAATAACTGTGAAGTGAAGTATCACAATACAGACAAGAAACACAGATGTGCAATTACAGCAGAGTATAGTGCAAATGATTGTTCGGCTGAGTTATTACAATGTAACAGTCTAAAATTTAGACTGTAAACGATGTTGCAGCAGCAGGTGTTTAAACACTTATTGTGATTTTTGGGCGTGGTGCTGGTTCAGCTGCTGGGAGGAAGGATCTGCGATAACGCTCCTTTGTGCACATATTCTCTGTGGGATACATGTTCTCTGTGACACTTTCACTATATCAAACCTGTTGTGCTGCTTTAGTTATGGGATTGTTGGGCACTTTTGTTCCCCAACATTTCGACTAATCTACTTCAAAATTGGAAAATGGTAAGTAGGTTTAATTTCAGCGTGAAGTGTTCCTTCAAACCTGTACAGCAAACCAGCTGCTCATCATTTGGTCCGGTGCGAGGAGAGGAGAACACAGAAAGGTAGCGCGCAGCATCGCATGTCTTCTTATTTCTTTTCTCTCATTAATTCCCATAATGTCATGAGGCGGCCCCGGTTCAGATAGTGTCAGAAGCGTGACGGCTGGATTAGCGCTTATCTGAACCCATCACTGATCCAGATACGCTCGCTCTCGAGCCCACACCGCTCCTGTTTTGTTTCTTTACAGCACTTGCCGCAGACACGTGCACGTCTTCCATCACGTCAGCCTGTGACTGGAGCAGCGGCGGGTTTCATTTGTTAAGGGGCTATCAGCCTCAGCTTCTTAGTGCTTGTTCTGATTAGAAACTGTCACCTCTGACTTCACACCTCTGGTACTTCAAAACAAGAGAAGACAGCGTGACCGGCTTTGTAAATGACAAGTTCTGAAGCATTAAATTGCCCATTCATGTAACTACTGTTGAAGCAAGTTTACCTCGTGTGACCTCGACTTGGTGGTCCATACCGCTCCTCAATCAGTTAGATTGATATTAGCTTGAGAAAGTGACACCTCTTCCTAATGAGAGATCTTGTCAAAGGGAAACATCATGTTATTACTCTGACCCCTGACTTGGCTCAACACTTGGAAACTCGCACCAGTCTTTACTTCAACGATAAGCTAAAGGTTTAACGAGGACAGATCACAGCAGATCATTAAAAGTCTTAAAAGGCATTGAATTCATCAATCTAAATTCAAGGCTTTAATTTGCTTTAAAATGTCTTAAATCAATCTTTCAGAGGTTTTAAAAATGTTAAAACACATTGTAAGGATAATTTTAATTTGTCTCAAATATTAAATAATTGGTAGTATTTCTTTATTTTTTTTAAGATAATTTAATACCAAATGCTTGTAATGCTAGTTGTTCTGTGTTAAAATAAACATTTGGGTAAAATTGTCGCTAACTGGGTTTTAATCCATTTCTGTTTATTGTGAAGTTGTTCTTAAATTTAATTTCAAGTGGCATTAAAGAGGTCTTAAAAAGTCTTAAATTTACCTCGCCTTAAGCTGTAGGAACCCAGGATCATGCAAAATCCACTTTTTTAAGTGTTAAATATATTTAGTTGTGTAATTGGAGTCTCTAGGAGTGCAGAAAAGTGGAATTTATTTCTCCAGATGCTGCCTACATATCTTAATATTCTGTTTGGGTCATATTTTTCAACTTTTTTAGTTTTTTCTTTTATGTTTTCTGAACTATTACATCACAGTTTTGGAAACAGAACATCTAGATAAGGTCTGAATTTACCAATCTAACCAGTTTGGGGTTTTTCGTTCTCCTCTGGTTCTGGGTCAGACTCTGGTTCTGGGTCAAACTCTGGCTCCAACACGTGAGGCAGGATGGACAAGTCTCCCCTTGTTGACAACTTTTAATTCCATTTGTAAATAAAATATTTCTGTGCAGCTATATAGCCGTAAAGCCCTCTATCAAACTAGAATGGACGGCTCTGAAAGCTGGAGCGGGGGCGGGGCATGAAGCTTCTCATTTGGATTCAAAGAGACAGCCTCAAAACGAGTTGATCTGAGACACGCCTTAGAAAAAGGGGTGAAAGAGGGGCTTGTAGAGTTGCAATAAGGAGGAATTTGGTTCCACTTTAAATAGACCCAAACCGAATGATTTAAATGGGAGGAAAAGCAGCATGATATGTCTACTTTGAAACTTGAATTAGAAAATCATAGTTCTTGGTTCTATTAGACCCCCTGTGGCTATTTTATAAGTTTTAGATTATGCGTTAGCACAATTTGTTGCAACATCTAAAACTAGACACCATCTAAACATTTAGCCTGCAGTATTATATCTCAACATTTCATCAGATGACCAGCAGTTACATTTTCTGCTGTTAATGTTAAAGCAGAAATCTGTTTGATTGGTATTATACTAATATGGTTAACTTTTGTTGTTGATAAAAGTCAAAAACTACATGTTCGAAAATGTACGACCTCCCTTTTCTTTCTCAGTTGTAAGTTTAGACCAAGCCCAGGATTTTTTTAAGGGAAGAATCTCATCGGCTGTGAAGCGTGTTGAGGAGAAAGTTCTAAATTGGGCTTGCTTTGCTGGGAGATGAACTCACAGTCACAGATCCAGCCCTGAATTATAGATCTTATCGAGAAAGTGCTTCAATATGATGTGGGGTTATCTTACCTGGAAGTTAAAATTGACCTGGAAGTGAACTTTACACTAACCTGGTGATCCCAGGCTTTTTAACGAGCCTCATCAAGCTGCAAAGGCAATCAGAAATCCAGGCTTGTAGAAGAGGTCAAGTCAGAACACAGATTTGAGTTTTTTTCTTTTTAAAGTCGTTGTTATGGCTGCAAATGAGCTGTGCATACAGTCATTCATTATCTCTTAAAACTGAAGTCATTTTGCACAGAACTGAGGTCAACAACTTAATAAGCCAACAGTTTTCTAACATCATACAGAAGTTATTTCAATGGTAGCAATGAAACAAAGGGTGTGTTTAGTTTCACTGCTGTTCAACTTTTATTGTCTTTATTTTTATCTAAGTGTTAATTGTTTTGTAGAAAATGATTGGTACGAAAAAACTGTAATTACTAGAATATGTCCTTATTTTTATTTAAAATTTAACTTTTATTTTTTTCTTAAATATAATTTCAGATGTGTCAGTCAGGAGTTAGAGGAATATTGTTCTGGTTGTAAAAACAAATCATTCCATAATAGGTTTGTGGTGAATTTTTCATATATATTTTTTTTACATTTTATACTATATGAGTCAGTTGAATAGTCTATGTTTAATGCAGGGCTATTCAAGTAGCGGCCCGCGGGCCACATCCAACTCGTAGGTGACTTATATCCGGGCCGCCAATGAGCCCGCAGAATTTTTTTCTTCTTAATTTAATATAAAATAGATTTCAAATAATTTACAAATTAAATTTTAGGTTTTAATGCAACAAAGTAAATCTAAAAAGTATAAGATAATACTTGTTTTTTTTACATGCTGCAGTGTTTCACCTGGTAGAGGGGGTGGATGTCAGGTCTCCAAGCTGTGAGCTAAGAATAACTCCGGCCCCCCGGAGTGATTTAGTAGAATAACCCTGGTTTAATGTCTTTCATGACTTTGTATCACTTTCCCTCGTAACTAAAGTGAACAAATTCTGCTTAGTGAAGGAAACTGCCCTAAATAAAAAGAAAAGACTTGAATTTGAGTTTACAAACATCTTAATAATGGCACAAAATTAGATCAGTTCTTATTTATCAAGTTAAGATTAGCTTAATTGACAGTCGTTGTTCATTCAGGTAATGAAGTGAGTTAATTTTCTAAACAAATCAAATGTGAATTCTCTTTAGGTTAAGAAGAAGATCCTCAAAGAAGAAATCCACTGTCCTCCAGAGGCGTCTGTGCTGTTGGCCTCTTACGCTGTCCACGCTAAGGTTAGTGATTTATTCCAGTGTTCTTCAAGGTGCTGCTGCCAGGGGGCGCTAGAAGGCTGGAGGGAAATTAAGAAGAAGAAAAAAGCAAAAAAGAAAAATCTGAAAATAAATATTTTAAATCGTTATCCTAAAATAAAATCTGTTTTTCAATCACTATTTAAAATATAATTTATGATATTTAAAAAATGTTATTTAGTAGAGCTTAAGAGAAGTTTTATTTCTTTTGTTTTGTTCTTATCGTCAACGGTTTGTTTGTTCATTGGGAATATAATTCAGTGTTTAAAACATGTTAGTAATTATTGTTTAATATTAAACAAATGTAATAATTATTGAATCGTGAATAAATGTGAGGAAAAACATCATTTCTTTTAGCATTTTTTTGAGGTTTGGGGGGCATTACATGGAAAAGTTTGGGATTTATCATTTAAAAAACGTAATTTCATTCAGTTATTTGTCTGTTTTCTATTTGATCTACTTATAAACTAACAGGACTTTCTCTCCTATCTAATATAATACTTTGGACTAATAAGATGCTAAATAATTTACTGAGATTAGTTTTTATGATTGCATTCATCAATATCATTTTAAAGAAAACGAGTGAAGACAGTAGGGGTGAAATGTATTCACACTGAACCAACCATCAGGTGCTGATGTTAGTGCAATCAATTTACGATTTTATTTATTCAAAACAGAAACAATAAACAGTATACATTAACCACAAAGGGAAATATGCCCTGTATCAGGTTATAACTACAGGTGCTGATTTCCAGCTGTAGTCCCAGACCCAGCCAATACAATATTTTAAAAGGAAAAATAAATAAATAAAAGCATCTTGACGCTATTCAATCAAAAAATAAAACATAATTTAAAAACACCATAAATATACAGTACAGTAAATATAGAGTCAATTCATAATACTGTATCTATACTCCCAAGATTTCATCACAGACACCACTGACTCATTAAAACACATGAAAATAGACTCACTCAATAAAAAGAAATCTCTCACTAAAATTTGACAAAGAATGTGTGACCTATAGGCAGTCACCATCTTGTCTAGAAAAGGGTGAATGTAGTTCTTTTATTGCTTTACACTGAAACAACACAAAATCAATAAAATAATTAAACATTTTCTACATCAAAGCAGTATCTGATTCAGACGACCTGTTTAGTCTGTGGCTGTGGAGCCAAGTACACCAAGCTATTCATTTCTGTATTGCCTTTTGTTTACTATGAAGTCTAGGGCAAGTTAATTAAAACAAATTCTAGTAGCTCAACTAGATTAATTGTATTATAATATTTTAATATCTATTATTTCATAGCATTTGTACTCTACAAGTTAAAAACCCTCCAGACTTCTCAGGGGGAAGAAAGACCCTGGTTCCTGGAGAAGGTTCCTCCAGTTAAAAAACACCTTGCAGGTATCTGGAAGCTGCTTCCAGCAGTCTCAGAGGAGCTCATTAGTGTAGTCCAGGGATCTGATCAGAACGTCCTCTCAGGTGAGAGCTTATCATTATGACTTGTTGGCTGGCCCGAGGCCGTGTCTGTTGGCTTGAGCAAAGGAGAACAAGAATGTGGACGGATTTCTTTCAGATTGTTGCAGCTTCTCTAAAGGAAACGTGACCGCTCGTTCTGATAATTGATTTTTGCGTTCTGACGTCAAGCCCAGCTCCAAACCGACTTTTTGATTTTCTTTCATCACAAGCAGCTTTTTACTGGACCTGAGATGTGCCTAATTGGTGGTATTTGAGATGGTTTGATTTGAAGGTTACCAATTGTTTGGCAGATTTTTTGTCATAATTAACTCGACTGTTCAGTCACTAAAAAGAGCCGATCAGAAGAATCAGTAATTCCAGTTTATTGAGTAGAGTAGAGTAGAGTAGAGTAGAGTAGAGTAGAGTAGAGTAGAGTAGAGTAGAGTAGAGTAGAGTAGAGT